TTTTTTATCTTTTCTCCCGAATCTGAGCGACACCTCATTGGCAGCACATAGCGAAGCATTGCGAGTTCATGTCCCGGGCCATTGCGCCTTCAATTTTGCAGATGCAACACGGACATCCATCAAGCACGAATAGTCGTATCTCTGCGCCGTGCTAAACGCGAGCCCTTTCCCTTGCTCCATTTCCTTATTGTGTTGGTTTCGTTTGTCTCACTTGTAGTAGTGCTTCAAAGGCTACGTGAGCAACACAGCCGAAGGTAGGAAAAACGTAATCCGGCCTCGCTTTTTAACTTTTCTCGCGGATCTGACTAACAGCCTAGAGAAGAGCATATTGCGAATTCACGCCTCACGACTCACGTCATCGCGCTTTTAATTTTTCGCGATAGAGGATCACTTTCCGAGTCCAAAACACCGACGATTTTTGAAATCCAACAAGTACGGATAGAGAGAAAAGGGTTCAAAGATAAATATTTCAACTCGCATATCTCCTGAACGGTTTGTCGTAAAGAGATGATCTTAATCTCAAAATGTAGAGGAAACCACCAGCTTTCAGACAATGATGACAAAATTTGTCCATTTTGAAAATGTCATCCATCGCTTTCACGTTGCCGTAGTTCAAATTTTCAAATTTTAGCTGGGGCGACCTTTATAGGTCACTCCTAGATAAACTCATTCGTAAAAAATGACAAGATCAGGATAAATGATTAATATGCAATGGATACAGAGAAATCAAAGTTTTCGATCATAAAAAAATGTATGTTTACCTTCAACGGTTCGCTGGGTAGAAATAAGAGGAAAAAAGAGGAATTGCTAACAAAATCGTACCATTGGAGCTTTTTAAATTTAAATCCATCCTACAGAAACGATTGAAAAAGAGGCATATGCATTTTTGTTGATGCAGCGAGAGTCAGCTCAGGCTAGTCTTGTAACATTCATATGTCTTGATATTTTGTTCTTTTTTAATAATGTTCTTCGGGAATTAGCTATAATAGGGTATAAAAATGCACAACCTTGCAATTCGTGATTGGTTTGGGGGCATTTGGTGATCTTGGGACTCGGAACAAACCAGGTCCAAGTGTACCACATCCACTTTGAAAAATCATATCTCTCCTCCAACTTGTTTCTCCAGGATGAACTTGGGCTTGTTTTGAAGCTTAAACGGTCTACTTTCATCAAAAAATAGTTAGATTACTTTCTGTGCGATTCCTTCAACGTCACAGCTAAAAAGGTGAAAAACTGAACATTTTAACTTCGGCAACGTGGCAACAATGGATGAAATTTCCAAAATGGACCAATTTTGTAACTATCGCCTGAAAGCTGGTGGTTTTCTCTACATTTGTAGACCAATATCATATTTCTAAGACAAAGCGTTAGCAAGATATGCGAGTTTAATTTTTTTACTTTGACTCCCGTCCCCCTCCCTCCGTGATCGTCCGATTTATAAAAGCGTCAGTGTTTTAGACTCGAAAGGAGATCCTCTATCAACTTTGAAAATATTTCGAAGATCAGGCCAAGGTTGAAACGGACAATTTGGAATGAGGTCCTTTCTTCCTTGCTCTAGTCACAAGAACAAGAGGCAAGTGAGAATATTGGAATCGATGCGCGATACGTCATTACGAATCTTTGTTTACATTCCGAAGAGCCAAAAACGTGAATTCTCACGGTGAATGAGCGAAAATATCTGTGTGTGTTTCATGTGCGTCTGTGTTAGTGACTACGCGCTCACAGAGGAACAAGTGCGTCTTCATGAGAGCGTTATCAGGCAACGCGCCGCGCCGCGCCGTCGCTAAATAGTCACCAGAGACTCTGCGTGAAACTAAATTCGGCGATAGTACATCTACCATTGGTGAGAGCGCGCGTTGGTAGATGGGAATCGTCGCCATTTTCGGCTGTAGACCTTGCCATGATTTTATTTTAATTCATTGTTTTTTCTTGTGAGCGAATGATATGTTGTGTAGTGTATTTTTGGAATCATGATGATACTGTCGATAATTCAAAACTGCTCTGTGCTTTAATCTCGTATTGAAAAAAATGTACTTGACGTTTAAAATCTGAATTTTCAAAACGACAAGTTTTTGCGCTATTTTGGAAGAATGCCGTGGTTGGAGCCTCCTAGTCGTACTACTTCATGGACGGATTCGTCCCTAGCGGCGTTGTTGTGTATTAATGCCTAAAATGCTGAGTCGGGTCTTGTTCACTGGATTTTCGTGAAATTCGGTATCCAGAGGTATTTTTCAACGGGAAATTCGAATTTTGGGTCAGATTTTCAAAATTTCACATTCCAAGATGGCGGCCGTGGCCTAAAATGCTAAGTCGGCTCCTGTTCACTCGATTTTCATGAAACTCGGTATCCGGAATGATTTTTCAACGGGGAACTCGAATTTTTGGTCAGATTTTCAAAATTTCAAAATGCAAGATGGCGGACGTGGTCTAAAATGCTAAGTCGGCTCCTGTTCGATCGATTTTCGTGAAACTCGATATCCGGATGTATTTTTCAACGGGAAACTTGAATTTTTGGTCAGATTTTCAAAATTTCAAAATCCAATATGGCGGCCGTGGCCTAAAATGCTAAGTGTGCTCCTATGTTCGCTCGATTTTCGTGAAACTCGGTATCCGGAGGTATTTTTCAACGGGAAACTCGAATTTTTGGTCAGATTTTCAAAATTTCAAAATTCAAGATGGCGGCCGTGATTTAACTCGTGGAACGAGTCGCAAGTTCATCGCGAAGAGAGGAACTTGGGGTCCAGGAGCACTCCCCGGCTAGGCGTGACAGCTCGCACAGCGAGCTGAACACGGCTAGTAGTTTATACAGGGTTATTCAAAAGTCATGCACCACTAGCCATGAGGGGGATGGCCATTTGAAATGTTTGAGTTGCCCCCCGCCCCCCACCCCGAGGGAATCAAAAACTGGAGAGTACCAAAAAAATTTTTTTAACTCTCGATATGAGGAAAAACGTCTTAAACCGCAAGTCGATATCATAATTAGTACTAAACTTATGGCCAGTGGTGCGTGACTTTTGAATAACCCTGTATATGTCTTGGATATGAGCGGCCCAGAGCCGCTTTCCAGCGGCAGTGCGCTGGAGTTACTCTTTCTTTTACTTTAGTGGGGAATCGTTCATTCTAGCCAGTTTGTTGACCCACTCTTCCTACATTACGTCAGGTTGAGTGACCCTTCGCCCCCCCCCCTCCAAATTGAGAAATAAAACGCAATTAAGTTTGTAAAAAAGAACAGTTGAGTATTCATCCAACTTTAAATGCGGAACATAATATTCTACAAAAAATCAAACTTTAAGCAATAAAGTTAATCAAGGACTCAAATCGTCTAAGTCACACCATAAACTAACGGTATAAACTAAAATTAGTATTACTTCGTGCATTGCACGTTGCCTAGTAGCCTCTTATGTTTTTTATAATTCTTAATATGAATTTAAGCAATTTCTTGTCTTTAGCCATTTTATGAGTAAATTCTTTACAACCTACGGGGGCTCTTCGAAAATGAATGGCATTGTGTTCCTCAGTTTTTGTTAAAGAATGTATCACTCGAGAGAACATTAGGCAACGTGTACTATTCAAATGCGGTTGAGAGGTCTCAAAAGTTAGTTTTATTTTTTTTTACTACGAAGCGTAACTCCACGACACAGCCTCAATGTGAATACTTTTCACTGCTTGTCAATAGTAGCGCCTAAATGCAAGTTTATCTGCTCCAAGGATATTTTTGACTGTCATGAAAAATGAAGGCGTTTCTCGTGTATCAAGCTCCAAGTGGGCTGTTACATTCATACAAATGTGTATGCCTCCTTCCTCATGCTTCATATTTTCAACGTGCAAGTTAAAGTCTTGAAACATGAAATGACTTAATATTGTAAAACTGCAAGGCCAGATGATAAAATAACCAAGCTGCTTTCTCGCAACAATTTGATTTTCCTCAGAAGCATTAATTTTAGATGTCTTCATGTGCATGTTTATATTTAGTCATGTAGCGCTGTTTACTCTGTCGGTCCTGAAACATTAACAAACGCAAAATCTACGGCGATAGGATCTCCTAACTTAAATGTTGCGAACACCTTGTTCAATGGTATGTTGGAGTATTTTTTTTTTCTACCAACGTACGTTAAAAACTCAGCATTAACCTTGTTCAATGTTCATCGATCCTTTTTCATATGTTAAAATGACAAATCAATGGATACACCGTAATGCACGCCACAGTACTGCGTGTAACCCTTATTCAAATTTTTTGGCTCCAAAATTTGCTTTTATTCCTCGAAATTTTGGTCAGAGATAAGCCAAATTTTGCTTAACGATGTTTACGGTTCCCGGACTTTTCGGCGCGACCGTTCGGAGCAGGACTTTAGGCGCACGGACTTTTCGGTGTATTTCAGTAGACAGTAAAACTGGCACCTCTGACCTCTTCGCACTGATCACTTATCTTGATAGTTCTGTGGATGGTGTTTTGTCTTCATTTTTTTGTGACAAGGGCTCTTTACTGAGGAATCAGCTAATTTAAGCAATTTTTTAGTGCCAAGGGATACATACACTTTCTTTTTCACTTCCGTGGCCTACTCTTCCCATAAGTCCAGCTAGAGGGCCGAGCTGGTGAAATTTCATTCTTACTCCTACCCCTCTCATTCCTCACCTATGTCATCGTTGTGTGGACACTTATCTGGCAAAAGGGGGGTAAGAACCTCCAATACTTGACTATCTTAAAACATTAATGTAGCAAATTCTGGAATTTTTTGTCAACCACAATCACAACTTGCACTTTCGTTGTCTTCCTCTCCGGAATATTCTGACAGGAAACCGTTCTGGAAAATAGGGTAAACGGTCTCCTCTCGTATTCTAAAAAGTATAGAACGTGCGCCGAACAATCCTGCGCTGAAGCACCCGCACCGAAAAGTCCTGCGCCGAAACTGTCGCGCCGAAAAGTCCGGACGCCGATGTTTACAGAACTTCATTTTTCTTTTTATTTAAAAAAAAAATACACAAGATTTAAAATAACTTACTCTGATTTTAAATATTTTATTGAATTGAAATCTATTGGAAGTTTCTAGGGTTGTTCAAAAACTGTCACGACATATCTGTGAAAATCTGAAAAAACATAAAATAAAATCTTAAACTCGCAGCACATTGTGAGTCAATAAAATTAGTATGAAAATAAATGCGTAGAGGGGGTTTTGAACGCGCCCCAAGAGTCCCATACGAAACCACAGAAATCGACTCTTCATCCTACTCTAATTTTCGTTCCTGGTGGCTGGTGCTTTACAAAACTCACCATTGGCGGATCATTTGCACGCGTAATTGGAAAAAAAGGTCAAAACAGCTATTTGCACCGAGCATATTTATAGCTACATCAAAATGACGGACCTAATTGCAGTGAGACATGAAGAGGTACAATGAATTCATTTCATGCTGTCATTGATTAAAAATCAATTACCAGCGCCAGGGCCGGATTTACCTACTTGCCGCCCATGGGCCGCCTGTATTTTGTCGCTCTCTTTGCATTCGTTTTGAAACATTAATGAAAACGAACAGGGGAAGGGGTGCATAAGACGCTTTTACTCGTGTTGGACACATTTTTTGCGTTTACGGAACTTTGCGCGAAAGTAAGTTCCGTAAACCTATCTCTGTGTGGACAAGGCCTTCCATTTATAAGAAATAAACGAAAAAATTATGAATGAACAAACATAAATGCGGTTTAATAATGTTAACTTCCGCCGCCGCCGCGCCGTGTCGCGTGACCGCACTGTGTTTGGCGCAATGCGTGAAGTATTCCTACAGTCTTGTAGGCGCTCGGCTAAGCGTTTCACGGCGACCGCTGCTGACCGCGGTGTGCTCGACGCAATGCGTGAAGTATTCATGCAGTTATGTAGGCGCCAATATGTGTTACATGCCGACCGTCGCGCCGAGGGCTTCTCCTTTTCATTTCAAGTCCTTTGTCATCATTGCTCTCTGTGCCGCGCCGTTCTAGGCCAAATTTCGTGTTTGATTTCTCTCTTAACTCGACTTATTAAAGGTGTTGTCTCTTGAATCACCAAAAGACGACAAAATTAGAAATTACTTTACTCTCAGGAAATGAGAGATTTTTTCGCCTTTTCTCGTTTGTATTTTTTTTCCGAATCCAATTGTTTTTTTTACACCCACATTTAAAAAAAACAATTGTAAAATTTGCCACCCCCTAAATTTGTCGCCATTGGCCGCGGCCCATGAGGCCACCCCCTAAATCCGGCCCTGACCAGCGCTCTAAGCGTTGTGCAGTTTTGTTTATCGCTGTGCAAAAATTCAACTGCGTTCCCGCCACCACAAAGAGGCTTTAAAATAACACACGAAGCGATGGATCCCAAATTATCTTGCAGCACGCCAGCCGTTACAATATGCTCGTCATGAAACATGGCGCGTTTAGATAATGAGCCTCTAGACAGGGTAAGAACTGGAGGCTCTAAGCACATGAATCTGCATCAGAATTTCGCGTAGAATTCAATGGTACAAACGGGAATTCATGAAACCAACTAATAAGCGAGATATTTGCGTAAATAGACTGCGCATTTTTGTAAATCCCGCTCGCCTAATATACGAATGACGTCACATTTGTAGCCAATAGGATTGTCGCAGCGCTGCGCAGCGCCGACTGAGCATCGGCCATCGAAAACGTCCAACGCTCCCAACGCCGGGATCGTAAACAAACGAAAATTGATAACAGGAAGGACCCAAGCACCCAAGCAACTCGAAATCTTTTAATTTTCATTAATTACAGTCCATTTTCGACTTCAAGAAAGCATTTGACAACCATTTTCCTCGTATTTTATAACCTGGAGCCACAGCCTATCGGCTCATTGTAATGTGCACTCTGAGAATCAGTTCCACAAGTCCAAACCCTGACATTCTTTTCTTTGACCATTCTATTTTCATTCTCGCCACAATTTAAGTGTTATGCAGTTTCTTTATCTAAAATATGTGGTCTTGAATTCATTCAGGAGTCAGAAGTTTACCTTTCTTTTAGTATTACAGCCCTTTGACCCCTCAAACTTCACCGATATGACCTCATGTAGTTCAAGGTTTCTCTGGCCCGAACCGAGTGATTACACATCTGAGGTGTGTCTCATGGTTCTTCAAATTAGCAGTTTAGAACTAAATTAGGGACTACAGTGACTCAATCCAGTTCTGCTTTCTTGTTCAATGTTTGTTATCAGTGTCTGTTCTTTTTCGTGACCAATCTAGTGCATGCACTGTTACGCTATAAGTACAGGTATTATTGCTTTTTTCCTGCTGTCAGACCTTTTTCTTAAGCCTGCTGATTCACCACAGAATCTGCCCTAGTTGTGTAAATAATTTGGTGTGTAGTTATTGAGTTAATACCTCCTTGCGGTGATGCAAACTTTCTCAGATCCGTCATAAGTGGGTATTGCATTTAGACGATCACTCGGACCAGATGAAATCACTGCCCTAGCAGCTTCAAATTTATACTTTGATCTCTGATTCACTAATAAATAACACTTTATGGTGTCATTTATATTTAATCAGTTCAAAGCTAATTCGACAATGAATCATCAATGGACCGATCGAAAAAGGAATTTTCTGGTGCGTGCTACGGCTGAATCGACATTACCTACAACTCAACTTTCGAAAGCATGAACCTTAAAAAAATTCATCAGGAACTGGTTCTTGGTAAGTAATAATTATGTTAGCACTCTCCTATTTCTGAAGAGATGTGTGTCCTGTAAATTTCAGAATATACTCTCCTGCCATATATCTAAAGAGGAATACAACATCTCAAGTGGGTGAAGTTATAAAATTGTGGAAATTGGTCATTCAAAGGGCTTTTCTGCTCGAAGACATGACTGAACCAATCTGAAAGCTGTGAGTTACGAATGATGGAGGGTCCAAGGTGTCTTCCCTGCTTTAAAAGATAAGGAATTGTGCCTCAGGCCTTAAATGCTATTGGAAATTCCAAACATTGTGAATTCAAATGCACGCTACACTTCATCAATGAATATGGAAATTTGTCTCAGAGAAAATCTGATAAGACCATTCTGGTAGTTATTTATTCTAAAGCACTGCTTGGCAAATTTTAAGTTTCCACATGTACCATACCATCGAAAGATTTCAATACTGCGTTTTGTCTTAACAATCATCACGAACTTTCATAAAAATCAAAGAACACAACTTCTCGAGAAATTTCAAATTGACTTTTTTTTTTATTTATTTATTTTTATTTCTTATGTGTGTCGCACTAGATGTTTTTAAAATTTCCAAGGAAATACCCAGATCCGTGAAAACGTTTTGCCTAGTGGCACACTTAAAAGTCAGATATCGACCCATCGAGGTGATTTCGTCCATTTAAACCCATGGAAATATATCGATTCTTGGAGGAGCCAGGTGCTTCGACAAAGATCGATTACTTAGTAAAAGTTTAAATGGAGGAAATCCGGTGTTGCCAAATTGCTGGACCCGCCTTCTGTTTAACTCTTTACTTTCGAGTGACAGTTTCAGTAATATATTTTCTCAGTGTTTCATTGTTAAAAGTAATGCTTTTTCATTGAGTATTTTACCTGTCATTACAAATGTGTAAAGCTTTTCTTTGTCATGAGGCCATTGAAACCATGAAGGAAAGTAAATTACTTCATATGGAACTAAAGTTCTTCCAAATCCCATAGGTAAATCGTACCACAAGATCTGAAAGGCACATCTAAAAGCGTGAAAATGAATAATTTATCACTTTAGTTTCCACAAAGACAAATTAAAATGACGCATTACATCATTTTCAGATCGAAAATGGAAAATTAATGTTCAAAATCCTGTAAAAATTGTCTAAAGTAGATCATACAGTGGTCAATAATTACAGTAATCAGATTTTAATCTATAATTTTTTGACACATGCATGTAAATCAAAATATTTCAAACTTAAATGAGTGCAATTATTCAAAAGTCTCATTTTAAATCATCTCCCACTCTGACCCTCCAAAAATAAGGTTCTCCAAGAATTTAAGTCGTCTGAAGAATTAATGCATTTAAAAATTCTGTTTATATTCAATTCACTTAAAATTTTTCAAAATTCATTATGATACTCACATTTGCATTATAGTCAGGCGCTTTATCTAGCGCGTCAGGGATTATCTTTGTCCTTGTTAATGTTTCTTTAATTTCCTCTGCAGATACAGGAGCCCATGTTGGACCAGGTGAAAACTCAATATTGTCCAAATCTTGAGTTACGACATTTGTACAACTCATTGTGTGCAGTAACGCAAAAACAATGTATATTTTAATTTTCAGCATTTTTGTTGATAATTTCAAAGAAAAACACGATTGTAAAACTGTAAGTTTAAAATTAAAAGAGAAAAAATCTATACTATACATGACTTGACTAAGTGCGCATTCAAAATATACATAAGTAATATTTTTGACGTTTAAATAACGTAGAATTGAACTAATTTTGACAACTTCAGAGATCTATTCATTTTGAAACTTCAGTAAAAATAGTCATGACCGTCTACGAAAAAAAAAAAAAAAAAAAAAAAAAAAAAAAATACCCGTGTTCCGCAGAGGACAAAATTGAATTATTAGTGTCGACGAATAAAGGAGCAGTTTACCAATATTTGAGAACAAAAATGTGGAACAAAATCAGGGTTATGCCAGTTTGAAATTTACAATTTAAAAGACGCAATGTCATGTGTGGAGTAAAAAATTGCTAAATTAGGCGTAACTTCATTCATCGGCGTTAAAGTGAGCTAACATGCACACAATTTTTTTCTCAGGATACTAAAGGAAGATTTCCGTTCAATTCTCAAAATTTGATTTTTGGACCTTCCTTAACAGAAATCGCTCTATTGAGAAAAATGCCTCCGTGAACTCGAGTCCCTATCTCGGTGGGTAGTCACAATGGCGAAAAATTAGGTTTTTAATATTTTAATGAAACTAAAAGTGTACCTATCAATCCTCTTACCAGTATCGATCATGCATTTTATTCCACCGCAATCGATTTTGGGTGGGGTGGGAGAGGAAAAGCTAACAACAAGTGCATGCACCTGATTCAGAATGAAAGTACACCGTTTTCAATATATAGGCAATTGCAGGTTGCCGATTTCATTATGGCTTCAATAGTCCACTTCTAAAATAAACCAACCAGGTAACATCACATCCTTGCAAAAAATTGAAATTATTACCTTTACTAACACAATTCTTGATTTTTTTTTAAATTTATCCTACTAGAGCATCCGATGGCAGAACTCCTGGACATATATGTTGTATTATTTTCACATTGGGAACAAAATAAATATCACACTAGTCGGTGCACTCAAGAAATTAGACATATTTTTTTCATCAATGGTGGAGAAATAATACGCTGCATTCTTTCTTCGTCACTCTTGAATGATTAAGTAAACATTATTCCACAATATTCAATTCATCTATAAAATTTGAAAGTGAATCATTTTTCTAAATCACGATCGCAACTATGCGAACAAGCTGAAAACCATAATCTCGACTCATACCCCCCCCCCCCCC